AGCGCCGTACCGGAGGGACCTGGTGTCTGAGGCAGCAGGGCCGTTCTTACGTTCTTATGAGCTGGAGTTCAACACATCCCGAGGGTGCCAGGCTGGGGAAAGTTTGCTCAGAGCATGGCGGAAGCTCCACCTTTACCCAGCCTGCCATTTTGCGGTGCATTGTCTAACTTCCGCATGAATTAGGGTGTCCACACGGTTATGTGCTTGGTACAGCTCAGAAATAGCTGAAGGAGCGCTTACATCCATATGTGCCCGGCTGCCCCTTGAGATCTGCGGGAGAGGCCCTTCTCCGGGAACCCTTCGTGAAAGAAATTAGGAGGGTGGGTACTCGGAGGAGGGCTTTCTCTGCGGTGGCGCCCAATCTATGGAATGCACTCCCCAGAGAGGTCCGCCTGGCGCCGTCGTTATTTGTTTTTCGGCGTCAGGTGAAGACCTTTTTATTTAAACGTCATTTTAATTGTCAACAATATTTGCTTATTTATCTGGCCAGGGTGACTTCTTTTATATTTTATATTTTATATTTATTTTATATTGTTAATTTTAATTTTATATTGTTATTTTTGTATTTTATTGTATTTTATTGTGTTGTAAGCCGCCCCGAGGCTTCGGCAAGGGGCGGCATAGAAATGTTCTAATAATAATAATAATAATAATAATAATAAAATAATAATTTGCATCAGCATAGCTGCTGCAGCATCTGAAGTGACTTGACTATGGGAGGCAGAGTCTGTCCGGCTGTGCGTCCAGTAAACATAATTTGTTTATTTATTATTATTTATTTAAAACATTTTTATGCCGCCCCCATCGCAACGAAGCCTCGGGGCGGCTCACAAATGATTCCCATCATTTATCTCTTTATTCACTGCAACACCGGACTTACGATGCAGCCACCCTCTCCCGGAGTAATGCTCACACCAGCAGAAGAGAAGTGAGGTCTCTAGTGGAGATGGGGACAACGAAGCTCCTGGGCCGCAGCAGTAGCTGAAGGCAACCATGGCAGGGGATATTTCACAGGCAACAGAAGTGATGCTGGAGATAACTCTGGTTAATACTGCTCAGGAGAAGGTGATAGTCAACCATTTCTTACCTTGAAAACCCTGTGATGGAACAATCAGGAATGAAACAAGAGATAGTGCCAGAAGATGAGACTGAGAAAGGTCAGAAAGCATCCAGCCAGCTACCGGGGAAGAGCAGAGGACAAGTACAAATTGCGCTGTGACTAATGGCACAACAAGATCAAAGCCGAAAGGAAGTCTGGTGGGTGACATGCGAAAAGGCAAAAGAGAGGTCTGATGCTGGACTGCACATCCAATTGAACATGGAACATTGGAAGCATGAACCAAAGCAAACTGGAACCTGTAAGGCGGGAAACTGAATATTTAAACATCATAGTGCTCAACATGAGCAAACTAAAGTGGAATGGAATGGGACATTTTCAGTCAGACAAACTGAAAGTGTTTTACTCTGGGAATGACAAAGTCAGAAGAAACAGAGTGGCTCTAATATTGGAGCAAGACGTAGCGCAGGAAGCAAGGGGCTGTAATGCAAAGTCAGACAGAATCCGATCAGCCAGACTTGGTGGAAAACCTATCAACATAACAATTATTCAGTGCTCCAACAACAGATTCCAAAGAGGATGAGAAAGAAAACTTTTATGCAAGGGTTGAAATGGAAATAGATGACGCACCAAAACAAGATATATTGATAATCATAGGTGACTGAAATGCAAAAGTAGGAATCGAGTTGTGGAAGAATTTAGCCAAGGGTCAGAAAGAAGGTGGGAGAGCAATTCTCAGGATCTTGTGATGCCAACCGTGTGTTTCTTGCAAATGTGTACTTTAAACAACCAGTCATATGACTTTATGCCTAGACATGATAGAAGAATAGCCTGCAGAACCGGCAGTAGGAGATGTTTTATTCTTGCTGCCGAAAGAAGGCTGGGAGCATTCCACTAGTGACCATGGCCATATGCAAAATCAGAGCCAAGCTGGAAAAGATCACCCAGAGTATTATAGTGCCAAAATAACATGCCTGAGGAATCTGAAGTCCACACAAAGAATAGGTTTGCATTATTGAACTCAACTGACCATGAACTGGAAGATCTGTGGACTGAAACCAGAGGCATTCTTAGGAAAGAATTCCTGTAACAAAAAGAAAGAGAAAGCCTAGATGGATGATGGAAGAAACTCTCACAATTGCCAAGGACAGGGGGCAGCAAAAGCAAGAGGTGACAGAAATGTTGTCGAATCCGGAATGCAACTTTCCAGGGACTATCACAGGGAGACAAAAAGAATTATCGCAATGGCCCCCTGCTTCCTTAGCAACAGGGACTTGTCCTTCGTCGTCCCCAATAGCTGGCCAAATGCCTTCCAGCCTGGGAGCCTTTTCTTCTGCCACTATCTCTTGTCCCACTTTGGATTGTTTCCGCGCAGCGTTTTCAAGGTAAGGAGATTCTGGAGTGTTTCTCCTGCACGGCGCGAACCAGATGTGGCTTGAGCGTCACTGCCGGCATTGCCCTTGGCTACCGCTGCCTAGTATCCCTCCCCTTCTGCTGATGTGCAAATTACTGCTGGAGAGGGTGGATGAATCTCAATGTGGCGTTTTGACCATTCTGCGGTGAGTGACCCTGCTCAGACTGTTTGTTTGCTTGTTTGATAAAATTTGTATGCTGTCCAATTACCTACGTCTCTGGACGGCTTGCTGCATAAATAAATTGGTGACCCACTCTGGCTGCAATTAATAAAATACAATAATAAAATTCAGTATTAAAACTTACTAAAATATTGATTAAATAAAAAGGTCTTAACGTGGTGCCAAAAAACATATAATGACGGCGCCAGGCGGGCCTCTCTGGGGAGCGCATTCCATAGTCGGGGCGCCACCACAGAGAAGGCCCTCCCTCCTGGCACACATGGGGGTGTGCATCCAAGGCCTTTGTGTCTGACCATTATGTAATTTTATGTGCCATTTTAATTTTAAGGCTCAGCGCCTACATTCGCTTGGCTTTCCTCTTCCTTCTCCATCCATTTCCCCTTTTGCACTGCATGTCGGAGATTGAAGCTGTTATTTTGGACTGCAAACTGCTCTGAATGCTTTGGCTGAGAGGGAGTATATGCGAGTCCCTCGTATGTTTGGGGCCACTTAAGAAAGAAACTAGACATGCAGCCGCCCGGCCACCAAAGGCCTCCTTCGTCAGCAGCTGGCGATACGGGGCTGTGGTCGGCCTTCTGTGCATGCCGGAAGCTTCGCTCCCAGGTTCTGAGCCACAGGGTTAAGTACAGTCTGTACGCAGGAAAGGGAGAGAGGATTTTCCTCATCCCTTCCCTTCTCTTTTTCCTTGTGTGCCGTTCCATTTGAGATGGCGAGCCCGCAGGCAGGGTCTGTTGCACTCTGCCTGTTGCATGAGCTGCTGCTGGAGCTTCATTGGTTACTCGATCCCTGTAGAGAAACAGATGAATACACAGAGAATGCATCTTTGGTTGTGTTCTGGTGTCACCTGATGTGCCAATCCCCAGCAGAATTCCATTATTCGCACGAAGTGCTAGTTCCTTTCCACTCAGCGCTGGTGAGGTCTCTCCTTGGACTGCTGCATCCAGTTCTGGGCACCAAAGTTCAAGAAAGTCCTTGTAAGCTGTCCAGAGACTTTTTATTATTTCTTTATTTAAAACTTTAGTGTGCCGTCCCTTATACCTTGGCATCTCAGGATGGCTCGTAATCCATCAGGATGGCATGGTAATGGATGGCATAGAAAAATTTTAAATAAGAGAGAGAGAGAGAGAGAGGGGGGGGGGAGAGAGATGCAGACAAGCTGGGAAGGGTTCAGAGAAGGGTGACGAGGAGGATCTGGGGGACCGGAAACAAAGCCCTATGAGGAGAGACTGGAAGAACTGGCCGTGTTTAGCCTTGAGAAAATAATAAAATAAAATAAAATAAAATACAGAGCAAAGGACAGGGCTGCTGTCGGACCACCGTGCAGCTGCGGCAGCCCTGTGCCCCTTCCTTCCTTTTGCGCAGTTTAGGCTGCTTTTCTGGAAGTGAGACCTGCCAGGACGGGAGGCCTGCTTGGCCCCTTGTTCGGATGCTTGGGACTGGCCAGCCGTCCGAGAGCTTGCTGGTTCAGCCACAAGGCCTCAGTCCTTCCAGTCTCATCTGGCTTGTCTTCGCTGCTGACACACATCAGCCCAAGGGGGAAACAGGGATGTCTGTGGGCGTTTAAACGTACCAGTGTCGCAGCTGCAAAAGCCAATCTGTCCAAGAGTTTGCTGGTTCAGCCAAGGGCGACTGGACAGCCATCTGAGAGGGGTGGGTTGGCTTGGAGTCCTGTAACAGCAGGGGAATGGAGCTGGTGGCCCTCTGCCCCCTTCCAAGTCTACCATTCTGTCATTCTATAAATAGCCCAATTGAATCCATATTCATGGAGTGGGTTGTGTCCCTTGATTCCTTTCCAGTCAACATTCCCGCACTGCTGAAGCAACAAAAGAGCTTTAAGGGATTACCAGGAAGGGCCAGTGCAAGGTCTTTTTTTTTTCTTTTCCTTTTTCTGTTTTCCTTTTGGCTGATAGGAAGAGAAGGAAACCTTGCCAGCTTCTGCAGGGGTGTAGAAATCCTTCTTCATATAAGCACTCTCCATCCATTAGAAAGGAGATTTGAAAGTCCTTATTCCAGTTGGAATTTTTGAGTGACTTTATGAGGCCAAATGAACTTTTGGAAGTCGCACGATTTCGACAAATGAATACACAGTAGATGATGCAGTCACTCGCTCGGTTCGTCTTCAGACGATAACGCGCAGTGAGTTTCCCTCACTTCTTGTCTGCCGGAGCAAGAGAGAAACGCTCAGCTGTGGATGCACAATCGTACTTAAGCACCTTGTTTTTCTAAATGTACGGGAGAGCGCTAAAATTGGCGTGACTGATTGATTGGTTATATCTGTACCCTTTGAGCCTTCGAACAGTAGGCATATAACTGAGCACCCCACCCCTTCCTGTTTTTCCCCGTCTTAGGGATGCGGCAGGGAAATGATGTTGGCACGCAGTATCGGTCTGCCATCTACACATTCACCCCAGAACAGATGGAAGCTGCCTTGAGATCCAAGGAAGAGTACCAAAAGGTAAGATTGGGTTTGAGTGCTTTGAGATCTCCCACGAGCACCCGGCCCTTCGAAACAAAGCAAAACAGAGCAAAACTCCTTTTTGCTCTCAGCTCTCCGCCATCCGTGGATACGTAGCCGAAAAGTTTCTTGAGACTTCTAAGTGCCAGCCTTAGTTTTGCAGGCCCCCTGGAGAGCAGCTGCCGCTTGGGTTTCCTGCCATGTTATTAGCCTCAGTGCATCTGCATCAGAGATTCCTTTGGCCTCGCTCCGTTTTCTTGCATGGTGTCATTCACAACAGAAGAGAGAATCTGTCACCCAGAACCGAGAATGTCATGTTGTGTCTTCTCTGTTGGAACAGCTGGGGTTCGCATGACGTCGGTGTCCAGTTGCAACTCCCCCTCAAGTTCTTAAACCTGTTGCGGTCAGGACTTGTTCCAAATACTTTCGGTGCTCGCGAGCAAAATAGCGGAGCCGGAGACGGGGTGGCTTTCCAGTTCCTGTCCTTGGGGAGTCGCTCCTACTTCGGGTCGTCTGCTAGTGTGTCTCTAAGCCTCTCCTGCAGAACCCTGCACATGCTTCTGGGCGCTCGGTCCAGAGCAGAATGGCCAGGGGCCAGCTGCAGCTGGCACAATCCCCAGCTACGGGACCTGGGGGGGTTGCAGTCGGAAGCATCTGCAGGACAGCTGGGGGCCTGGCTCTTCGGCCTGGGCTGTCCTCTTGGGGGGCAGACGGGCGGGTGGGGGGTGCATACGGCCTGATTTAGCTTAAAGCTCCTAGTACCAGTAAGAGAGTCTCAGGAGAGGCATGTCAGCCATTTGGAATGGAGAAAGCCGTGCGGAAGCCAGGGAAGCCCCAAACACAGGAGCTAGTCAAGTACCTTCCAGGGATTGTATATTTTGTTATTTATGTATTTATTGCATTTGTATGCTGCCCCATAGTCAGAGGAACTCTGGGTGGCTTGCAGTGCTACATATAGCAATAGAGATACAAAAACAATAGCAATCAAACTATAAAACATAATAGAATTAAAAAATTATTTATTTATTTAAAACTGTTCTAGACTGTCCCTTACCAAAGTCTTAGGATGGTTTAACAGTACAAAAACAGGCATGGAGCCAACTGGGTGACTTTGGGCCAGTCACAGACTCTCAGCCCAACCTACCTCACAGGGTTGTTGTTGTGGGGATAAGATGACAGAGGAGATGTAAGCTGCCTTGAGCCCTTTGTAGGAAAAAGGCAGGATATAAATCAAAAAATAAATAAAATAAATAAATAAAATAAAATAAAACACAGCATCCTAAAAACCCAACTAGCAATGAAACCCCAATTAAAACAATCAGATCTTAAAACATTGGCAAAATAAAAACGGTTTTGGCCTGGCACTGAAAAGAGTAATGTGACAGTGCCAGACGAACCTCTCTGGGGAGCGAATTCCACATTTGGGGTGTCACCACAGAGAAAGCCCTTCTCCGGGTAGTCACCCTCCTAATCTCCTTCAGGGAGGGCACCTGGAGAAGGGCATCTGCCCCAGATCTCGAGGGGTGGGAGGGCACATAGGGGAGAAGGCGCTCCTTCAGGTACCCAGGACCCAAGCCATTTAGGGCTTTGTAGGTCATCACCAGCCCCTTAAATCGGGCCTGGACTTCAACTGGTAGAATACAATATAAATAATGTAGATAATAAATACAGTACAGGGTTCCGAGGGAACTCTAAATATTCAGACGTGGCCTGTGGGTAAAGCTCCACAGCCGTGCCTCAAGCTGAAGGTGTTGCCTAGTCCCTTAGGGAAGTCGAAACTTCAGTCTGAGTAACCCTGAATAACCTCTCCGAAGATACCTGGCAATCCCAAGGAAGGAGCTGAAAGCCGCACCAGGCTGCAGGGGGATCCTGCACTGAGTTCCTGTCCTCGGCCGTCGCTCTAGCAAGGGGGACAGCCATCCTGGGACTCTTGATTGCCTGCAGTCATCTCTGTAGCTTCCCCCACCCCTGGCACCAAGGTGTGGAGCCCTCGCAAGAAATATGTGAGGAAACCATACTCCTGATCCTTCCCGCGCCCCGATCCAGCAGCTTTGGCCCATGGTGTCAGGACGAGGGCCTGCAGAACCAGGGGCACCTTTGCAGGTGCTTGGGGGGGACCCCTGAGGGGCAGGGGTGCAGTGCAGCCAGATGGCCTAGGGACCCGCATGGGAGGCCTCCCTGCCCGGCTCTGCTCTTGGCCGCAGCAACACGGGCCGTCCTTGTGGCTCCCTTGCTTGTGCTCCGGCTCTCTGGTTCACCTCGTCTGCCAGGTTAGAGCCAGGTTGGAGTCAGTGCAGCGCAGGGCCACGAGGTTGGTGGCCGGTTTGCAGGGGATGCCATATGAGGCGAGACTGAGGGAACTGGGTCTCTTCAGCCTGGAGAAGGGGACAGTCCGAGGGGACCTGTTAGTGACATACAGGTACGTGAGGGGGTGTCACACGGAGGTGGGTAGAGACCTGTTGTCCCCTGCAGAGGAAGGCAGGACGCACTCCAAGGGAGCAAAGCTCAGGGAGCCAAGGTTCAATTTGGATGCCAGGGAGCACTTCCTGACAGTCAGGACCCCCAGGGTGTGGAATGGGCTTCCCCGGGAGGTGGTTGAGGCCCCGTTGGTGAGGGTGTTCAAGGATAGGCTGGACGTGCACATGGTGGGCATGTCGTGAGCGGAGCCGGCTGGAGCTGGAGGTCAGACTAGATGGCCCGGGAGACCCCTTCCGACGCACTCTGTTTCTATGTTTCTATGTCTGGATCCTGCCTCCTGCATCACTTCAGTCCTAGTCTCCAGCCTGGCCCGTCTTCCCAGGGACCGGCACCCCTCCTCACTTGCTTGCTTCTGCACATGTTCTGCCTCTTGCTTTTCTGGAACTTTCTGGACAGGGAAATCTGCAGGGGATGCTGCTGCGTCACATGCTTGGCCTGAGCTATCCGGCAGGGAGAGAACAGGCTGCGGGGCTGCCCACGACCGAGCCGCGTTTCCAGAAGCTGAGCTGCCCGACCAGTCTGTGGGATGGGATCCGGCAATCTGGGACCCTCCAGATGTTTTTGACTACAGTGCCCAGCCTCCCCGCCTAAGCTGGCTGGGGCTGATGGGAAGTAACACTCAGGATGTCTGAAGGGTTCCAAGTTGGAGCAGACTGGCATACAGTGTTGTGTCTCCTGAGGAGGCAGCACCAGAACAAGCGACCTTGTGCTCAGTGAGACAGTACGTCCCTTTCCTCTGTTATTTTATTGTTTTAAATTTATATATAAAATTTGTATGCCATCCAATTATTTGCATCTCTGGACGGCTTACAACAAAGATAAATTGGCAATCCACTCTGGCTGCAAATTAATAAAATACAGCAATCATGAAATTCATTTGTCCCGGCATCGTCCGTGCTCCAAGGGCTTGGCCCGGGATCCGTCTTGCCATCTGCTCCCTACAGTCCTTCAAACGGGGTGGGCCCAGGACTGAATCGGGAAGCTTTGGCATGCAAGGCCTGTGACCTGGCACCAGACTTTGCTTCTTCCCCAAAGTCTTTCTCTCTCTTCCCCCCCCCCACTCCTGTGGGGTTCGCTACCCCAGTGGCCCATTGCCCCATGGAAACCTGTGCATTGAATGTTCAGTCCCTCCGCCACCCCGAGATCTGCGGGTGGCCGTCGTTCTGCTCATCAGATTCAGTGTTAAATGCTGTTATTTGCCCTCGATTCTGTAGTTGGGTTTAAAGTCGAAGGAATTATTCTCCCACCCGCCTCACCCCCTAGCTCTTTTCCATGAAAATGAAAAAGGAAGGAAAAATGGGAGGAAGCGAGTCGTGTCTGCAGGCTGCGTCGCTTCGCGGAGGTCGCCAGCTGCGTTCCGCGAAGGGCTACGCATCCCGAGCGTGGGCGCTTCGGACTGGCAGGCTCGGCTCTTTTTTTAGCACCTACTCAAGAGGAGGCCCGTGTCGGGGGCTCCCTGCTGGTCCTGTCACTGCCCATCTGTTTTGGGCTGCCAGGTTGGATGGAGGACCACTGGCCTGTGACTGATGGATAGGAGGCCAGGCGTGACCGTGAGGCCGAGCTCCGAGCAGCGGCCTCAGACGGGGAGCGTGTCTTTGTCTCCCACGGTCCTTCGCTGCCTGCCCTGCTCTTCTCCGACCCCCATTGCTAGCTTTCCGTCTGCAAGGCTGCTTTGTGAGATTCAGGGACAGGTGACTCACGCGGTGCCTACAAAGGGTTCGAAATGGCACCGTCCCAAAACTTCGCTCCCGCTGCCCCATGATTGGCTCCGTCAAATGAGGGGTGCGACAAGACCTGAAAACCAAGACCCAAATGAGGGGTGTGACAAGACCAGAAAACTCCCCAGACTCTTTCTTGGGGTCTTTTTATCTCAGAAGCATTTAACTGGGACAACTGCTGGACCACCTTTTCCCATGTACACCTGCCTGTTCTTTAAAATCTGAGTGGGAGGCTCTTCTTGGAGAATTGTCCCCCAAGGGGGGGGGGGGGGGGGGTGACAAATAGAAGGACCTTCTCAGTGGTGGCCCCCATACTCTTCCCAGAGAAGTTTGCCTGGCACCCTCTTTGCCTGCAAGACTGTCCTATTTTGTAGGTATTTTAATAATGGTAAAAAGTGGAAGAATTATATTTATTATTGTTTATATTTTTATGAAATTCAATTGATTTTAAACTGCTATGCTTGCTCCTATTGCAATACGGTCATTATTTTGTGGATTATTTTACTGCATTACGGATTTTTAACATAATCTTACACCTCGCAGAGAGCCCTAAATTGTGCTTTAGGACGTGCTATGTAAATTTGAAACAACAAATAAACCGATACTGCATTTTATCTCAGTGTGTGGTTTTGCGCAGCACAAGAAGCTGCTTCTGCATGCAGACTTCTCCGCCCAGTCAAGCTGGGGGAGACCTTTGCCCTTGTGTCCCCCTCCATAGCGCTCTCCAAACGAGTGCCCCCCCCCCCCCGTGGCATCGTTCCTTGCTCTTGCTGCGGCCTGTTCTTATGCCCCAGCCCCAAAGCT